TGCTGCCATCGTCGTAAGTCTCGAACTCGGGCTCGGTGAGAGAGAGAGCTGCACCTCCGGCATCGCGCCAGGACGCCTGTAGTCCAACATGGAGTCGGCCCTGGCAGCGCCAGCCAGCGCTCCAGCTCGCCCAACCCAGAGGGTGACTCCGTCAAGGACCAACGCAGCCTGATGATGCCGGCGGCAATCGACGTTAGGCAAAATCCACGGGCGGCCTATGCGTTTGGCCCAGTAATCGGCCTCGACGTTCCCGCGGCGCTGCCGCGCTGTGCAGATTCGGTTGGCGACGTCCTCCAGCGTCGCGTGGCCCTTCAGCTTGTGGACGGTCAGGCCTGCGGGGCCGAGTCCGCCGAAGTCGTCCAGGGCACGCCAGACCTCGGCCCAGAGGTGGCCCCAAGCAGAGGTGGCCGACGTAGTGCGGCCCCGACCTCTCACCAGCAGGCCGTCGACCACAAAGCTAGCGTCAATGTGCATCGTGATGGGCGGGATGGAAAAAAAGGAGGGCGAGGAGCACCGCAAACAACTCCGCGCCGTGGATGGACTGCCAGGGCCCAACGACGGGACCCTGCCACTGCTACCGACGACCGTGGCCCAGGGTCGCCGACGCCGCCGTCGGCGCCGACGTCCCCCACGAGCTGGATGACGGCGCAGGCCGCCAAAGTGCAGTCGGGAATGTCGGCGTCGTAGGCCGTGCCATCAAAATAGAGCACGCCGCTGTAGAAGGGGTCGCCAGAGCCCACGGGATGCTCGACGAAATCGAGCAGCCCCCCTGCGAGAGGCCTCCAGGCCGACAGAGGCTCGGGAAAGATCAGGCGCTCGACCAGCCCGACAACGATCTCGCTGAAGCCGCGTGCCTTGAGGAGGGCGATTTCCCGAGGCAGCTCGAGGTCCCCCACTGGCTCTCGCAGCAGACGCGCCCGTGAAACAACGTGCCGGGCTCCTGCGGGCAGAAGCTGCAGAAGGGCGTGAACGAGTACGCAGGCGTATTGTGGTACGTGCGAAAGTTGGTCCACTGGCCTCCCACGAACGCCGAGCGGGCGCACCCCCGCTCCCGGGGAGAGAGGCTGGCCCGCTGGCGGGCCGCCTTCGAGGGGCCGCGGCCGACGCGGAACCATCGCCGCAAACTGCTGGCAAACATGCGGCCCACGATCCAGGGGAAGTCCACCGACATCTGCGCGGCCTTCCACGCTTCGCAGCCGCGGAGCACTAGGCGCTGGACGTACCACGGCGAGAACTCGCCGGGGCGGAAAGTTGCGCCGTCGTGCAGCGCCCACTCCCCAAGGGCCGCGGCGCCCCAGCCAATGCGCTGCGTGGACAGGGGGGCGGCGCCCAGGGGCCCAACGACTTGGCCCCAGCCCTTGACGTGGTCACGGGCGAAGGTGGCAGCGGTGTCGTGGACGCGCCGGGGCATCCACCCTTCCCAGAGGGCGCGGCTGAGAGTGTGCAGCGGGGCGCAGGTCGCCTTGTAGATCGGGTCGTGCGTCGCGTCCAAGGCCATGAGAATGGCGGTCTTGGACTTGCCGACGGGCCTCGGCTCGACCGCGCGGCAAGCTATGGACATCGCCTCAGTCAACTGGCTCTGATTCAGCCCCGTGACGTTGGCGCCGCAGGCATAGCCCGCCTCGAGTCCGCTCTTGGCAATGCGGGCTGCTGCGTACCTCCTTGCACTCTTGCCCAGCAGATTGCGCGCTCGCTGGACGCGAGCGCGCGCGTTGGCCAGGCGGTTCGCACGCGCGGCCTGGACTGCCCGCTTGCCCTCGCTAAAGTCAATGCCGAGGTTGCGAGTCGTCGCAACGGCCCGAGCGCCGCGCGCCCTGGTCAGGTTGGCGGCCAGGGCCGCGCGAATCGTCGATGAGCTGCCAAGCACGACGGACTTCTTGGTGGCGACGCGGATGTCGACCCGCTGCAGCTCGCGCACCCAGCAGGCGGTGGCCGCGGAGAGGTCGCGGACGACGCGCTGCTCGCCGTCGACCCTCTGAAAGACGAGGTCGTCGATGACAATCGCAGCGGTGATGGTGCGGTTTCGCTCCATCACGGCGCCCATGGGCCCGACGAGCATCAGCTTGACGAGCGAGGTGGCGAAAGCGTCGCCGGCGAGGACGGTCTGCTCGACCTCGAGGAGGTCGCTCGCGACGCCCTCCAACACAAAGGTCCCTCGGGAGCTTGAATAGCTCGGTCTGGGGTCTTAGGAGCCGAAGGGGAAAACCGTGCCTCTGGGCGGCCCGCACTAGGTGCTGGTGCTGAATCTGCTCGAAGGCATTCCAACTGTCAAGCAGGGCCGTGGCGGAGCTCCAATCCTGGTCGGGATGGAGTCGCGCCCGGGCTCGCGCCCGCTCTATTCTGTCAACGCGATCACATTCCAAACGGTATAACGACACTTTGCGTTGCATTGCTTTCATCTGCGTAGTTTTACTGACATTGTTTTTGCATTGTTTTTGCCTTCAAAACGAAAGCGCCCAATAATGCGTGTTCAGAAGTATGCAAACAATGCGCTCAATAATGCAAAAAGAATGCTCGCGCGTTTGCTGACCAACAAAGTATGCCAAAAGAATGCGCCGCATTCTTTTTGCACTCTTTACGCCGCCCAGGTGACGCCCCACATTCTTTCCCGCATTCACTCTCGCATTCTTTCTCGGAGTAATAGTCCGGGTCCCAAGATTCCCGCGTGCTCCGAGGAGTGGAGTGCAATGCTATATCGATGCTTGTAACGAGGGTGCGAATTTCGATTCCGAGTACACTGGGCAGCTACATCGACGATGACACGCTGTCCTCTGTGGGCCTCCCGCGTTTGCTGCTCGCGAGTTGCGCGATGCCGCGGGCGCGCTCCATCGCGCCGTCGCGGCGGGCGCGGGGTCGCGCGTCGCCGAGGATGAGATGGCGCTGCTATCCCCTGGCCCAGTAGTAGCGAAAGCCCGCCGTGATCTTGGCATCGCTCGGACGTGTGCATTTTTCCTTCGGCGAGGACCATCGAGGAGCATCCTTGATCATTTGGCGAAGAAGCCACGCACGAAACCAAAAAAAGCACAGGGAATTGACGTCCGAGCGATGGCCATTGATCGCCCTGGTGACCGCGGGCCCCAGCCTCGCAGTCTCCGCGAAGCGGGGGATCGATGCCGCCTCTCGGCGCGCAGGGCGCCATGGGGCCGCAGATCTGCCGCGGTTCCAGCGGGGGCGGAGACTTTCGTCGAGAAGGGCAGGCGCCTCCAGAAGCGGCGCTCCGACCGCGGGGCTCTCGCCGCTCGGAGTTGCAGCGGCGGTCTAATCCCAGGGGGGTGCGCGGGGCCGCGGTGTTCGGGGTGTCCGACCATGAACTGCTCGAGGTCAGGGCGGGGGGCTGCTTCTACGATCGAGCCGTCGGCGGGCGTGCGCTCGCTCTCGGGGCTGGTGGTTTTACGGGATGCCCTGCGTGGCTCGGCGCCGTCGGGCCCGTCCTTCGCCGCGTGCAGGAGGTTTGGCTCTTGCGCGCGGGGGCCTTCGACTGCGCCTTGTCCTGGGGCGAGCTCAGGAGGTCATAGGGGCTGACTTTTCATGGTGGCAAGATGGCTTCCTGGCGCAGGGTCTCGGATCCCATGATGGCCCTCAGGCTGCACTTCCTATCGCGCGAGTAGGTTGGTCGACGGGCTCGTTCGCGGCGCTCGTCGGCGACCTTTCGGCCCCGATGTCCTTCGCGCTCGCCTTGCCAAGGTGGGTCGGCATGCTCTCGCGCCAAGCCGCCGTCGGGGACTCGAAGGGGGGAGTGCCTAGCGCGGCAGGAGTTGCTGGGGCGGGTGCTTTGATATTCTGAAGGCGGCTTCGACCTCGGGGCGGTTGTCGCCGAGAGAGAGAGGTGTTGCGTCGGGGGAGTAGCGACCGGCGCATTTTGGGCTACCACGAGGGCTCTTTCCTTCGGCTATCAGCCGGGCCCCACCTCGCCCGCTCCGCGCTCTGCGCGCCAGGAGTGCAGGGGTTCGCTCGCCCGGGAAAAGCTCACGTTCATGATCCTTTCCGCTGCGGGGGCTGAGTCTCGTGCAGACCGCCTGCTTCGCGCCCCGGCCCCCCCCCCAGTGTCCCGGCGATCCTCTGTCCGTGTCCTGGCGATCCCCCGGCGCCCGCTTCGGCGCCGCGTTCCTGGGGGGCTCTCGGTTCCGAGGGGGGCAGCGCTGATGAGGTTGCGCTGTCGGGCCGTATCTTTGTCGATGGGTCACGCCGCCGCCGCCCGACTCGGGAGCTCTGCGGGGCCAGCTGCGGGGCCGCGGTCTCGGCCCCCCGGGGGCGGGCTCCTGGCTTCGGAGCGCGGGCCTCTCGTGGCCCCCCCCCCCCCGCTTCAGACGCCCCTGGGGGGCGAGTGCGGCATTTTCGCGGGCGCGCTGCGTGTGCTCCGAGGGCTCGCCGCCACCCGCCCTGACTGTCCAGCGGCGGTGAACCGCGGGCATATGGCGGCGCCCCTGGCCCTCTCGCGCACGAGGGGCCGCTCGGGCTTTCTGCCCCGGGCTAGGGGCGGGGGCGCCAGGCGCATCTAGGGAAGCAGTCGCGGTCGGGGCTCTCCAGGAGCTCGACGACGCACTGCCTGGATGAATTTTCAAGCGAGCTGGGAATGACCGCGCTGACTATCTGGCCCTTCCGGGCCGCGAGCGGCACCCTGGGCCGCCCGCGGAAGAAGCGGAGCTGCTGCCGAGGGATGTCGACACTGCGCGCGCGGTGGCGAAGTTGGCCGCCAAGCTTCCCCCCGCGCGGCCGCGCCTCGATTTGTCGGATGTGCCCCCGGAGGGGCCGCAGTCCGCTGCAGGCAGCTGCGCGCGAGCGTGATTGCCGCAGCTGGATGGTGGTTCGCGACGCGCGGCACTGCTCGATTTGTCTCAGGGGGTCGCGTCTGCCCGCGCCCCCGCGTTCCAGGTGTCCTGGCCCGTCGGGCCTTCGGGGGCTCGGCTCGGAGGTTCTTGCGTCTGCGGGGCGCGCCGCTGCAGCGCTTGGTTTCTCGAGTGGCTCCCTCGTGGCCGCATGCGCCCGCTGCAAGCGATGTGCAGAGGGGGGCCAGGTCCGAGGTTTGAGAGGGAGTTGCCCGCCTCTGCCCGCCGCGCTCCCAAACCGCAGCACGTGGGGCCGAAGGTTCAGATTCCAGCAGAGTTCTCAAAGGTAGAAGCCCGGGGCTCGAGGAGGTCACCGTGACGGGCCTCCTTCTCCTGCTGGGCCCCCCCTTCTCAAGGATACGAGAGCCTTGACCAGGTCCTTCGAAGACTCGCCTCCGAACTCCGCGAATACGGATGCCCCGCGGGGCCCGCAGCTTGGCTTTCCGAAGGGCAGGCGAGCAAGCAGCGCGCTGATTCAGACTCGTCGGATTAGTTCGTTTTGTCTTTGCGCGCCGCGCGGGCTCTCTACGCCTGGCCTTCCGCGCGTCGCGTGCAGGTTTGACCAGCCACGCGCAACGAGAGCTCGTTCCGTCGCTTTCGTGCAGCAGCCGCCATGTTGTGGTTCCAGGCTGCTCGTGGGAGTCGTGGCCTCTGGCTTTCCAGTGCCTCTCCCGTGCCTTCGGCCGTTCGAGTGTGGTGCAGGGCTTGTACGGGTGCCCCGCGCGTTTTTTTTCGTTTCGCGGGTGCGCCCATTCTAAAGGGGGGGGGGGGGGGCGGGCGTGCGTTGATTTGTAGACGTGGCAAAGGAATCCTCCTCCTCCTCCTCCTCCTCCTCCTCCTCCTCCCCTCTTTCCCAGATTCCTTCTCTTTGCTGCTGTTCGTCCCGCTCACCCAGTCCTTCCTGCTTCTCCTGTTCCTTTTTTGCCCTCCTCCTCTTCCTCCTCCTCCTCCTCCTCCTCCTCCCGTTCCTCTTCCTGGTCCTCCTCTTCCTCCTCCTCCTCCTCGTTTTCCTCCTGCTCCTCTCGTTTTTCCTCCTCCTCCTCCTCTTCCTCTTCCTTCTCCTCCTCCTCGTCCTCTTCCTCCTCCTCCTCCTCCTTCTCCTCCTTCCCCCGCCCGCCCTTACAGCGGCCCTTATCCTGCTCCTCCCCCCCCGGCGCTCCCCGCAGATGACCATGGAGGCCGCGAATGTGACAATGAAGCGGCCCGCATACAGGCGGGGCCCGCGCCTCCTCGCGCGCCTCTGCCGCCCCCCCTCCTGTTCGCGCCTCGTGCGGCCGCGGCCCGCTCCGCCCTGTCCGTCTGATCCTCCTCCTCGCGCGCCTCCTCCGCTCTCCTCCTCCTCCTCCTCCTCCTCCTCCTCCTCTCCTCCTCATCCCTCCCCTTTCTCCTCCCCTTTCTCCTCCTCCTCCTCCTCTTCGTCGTCGTCCTCCTCCTCCTTTTCATCCTCCTCTTCGTCGTCATTCTCCTCCTCCTCCTCCTCCTTCTCCTCCCTCCTCCTCCCTCCTCCCTCCTCCTCCTCCTCCTCCTCCTCCTCCTCCTCCTCCTCCTCCTCCTCCTCCTCCTCCTCCTCTCCTCCTCTCCTCCTCCTCCTCCTCCTCCTCTCTCTCTCCTCCTCCTCCTCCTCTCCTGCTTCTTTTTGCCGTCGTCCTCCTTGTCCTCCTCCTCCTCCTCCTCCTCCTCGTCCTTCTCCTCCTCACCCTCGTTCTCCGCCTCCTTCATCCTTCCTTTGCGCCCTCTCCTGCTCCCTTTTCTTCCTCCTCCGTCCTCCTCCGTCCACGTCCGCCGCCTTCCACCTCCCCCCTCCTGCCCGAGGGGTTCGGAGGCTGCAAGGCTCCCACCACGACGACGACGACGACGACGACGACGACGACAATGACGACGACGACGACGACGACGACGACGACGACGACGGCGACGGCGCCGGCGCCAGCGCCGGCGCCAACGACGACGACGACGAAGACGCCGACGACGACTACTGTGCCCAAATCATATCCACAATGGCCGCTGGCGGCGTGTCTGGACAATTCCCACCATGCCAAGGTCCATTTCGATCCGATCGATCTGAACCCATATCGGCTCTGGTCGATCCCATCCGATTCGATTCCGATGTTCTGGGGATCACCTGTGGCCCGATGCTTGCGTGGCGCTCTTGTGCATTCTGGCGCAGCCGGTCCGGCTCGATTCCGACTCCGTGCCGATGCGGCCTGGTCTGGCGCACGTCTCGATCCGATCGGATTTCCCGGCGGTGTCGCGGTCGGCGCTTCCGGGTCGCTGCGGGCGGCGTTTCGGGGGTGCCCTGCTGGGGAGGTGCTACGGTCGGCGCATCGGGGGGGGGCGCGCCGACATGTCGGCCAGAGCTGGGCCCCGGAGGAGCCCCGGGCCCTGGTTTGCCCCGCCGTCGCCCCTGCAGGCAGCGCCCTGCTGCAGCGTCGGCGCCGCTGCAGCGGCGCCGTAGTGGGACGCCTCTGTGGAGAAAACATACTGTTGAACAAAAGAAGCACACTGGAAAACACAAACACACACACGCACACGCACACGCACACGCACACGCACACGCACACGCACACGCACACGCACACGCACACGCACACGCACACGCACACGCGCACGCACGCACGCACGCACACACACGCACACACGCAGACACACAGACACACAGACACACAGACACATACACACACACACACACACGCACACGCACACGCACACGCATGCGCACGCACACGCACACGCACACGCACACGCACACGCACACGCACACCACACACACCACACACCACACACACAGACACACCACACACACACCACACACAGACATACACACACATCATAAACACACCACACTGTGTTTTTTTCCATTATGCGTTTTTTCACAGACGCGCGTGGCGAGCCTCGGGACGAAGGCCAGGCCGCGGCGGCGCAGCGCCGCCCCACTACAGGGACGAGCAACAGACGCCAGGGAGGGCCGCCGTTGTCTCGACTGGCCCGCCTCCGAGCGCCGCAGCGCACGACGACGCCGCCGCCGCCGCCGACGACGACGACGCCGACGCCGACGACGACGACGACGACGCCGACGACGACGCCGACGACGACGACGACGACGACGACGACGACGACGACGGCGGCGTAGCCGGCGGCGGCGGCGGCGACTGGCCCGCCTCGGAGCGCCGCAGCGTGCGGCGCCACCGCCCCTCTCACGACGACGCCGCCGACGACGACGACGCCGACGCCGACGACGACGACGACGCCGACGACGACGACGCCGACGACGCCGACGACGGCGTAGCCTGCGGCGGCGGCGGCGGCGGGAGGCCGCGCGGGCCAACGAGGCGTGATACGGTGGGCGCGGCGCACGCGTTGGCCCATGCGTTGGCCAGGCACTGTGCGCCGGCGGGGCCGCGCCGCGGGCTCCGCGCAGAGGCTCCTCTGGCATCGCGCCAGCCGCTCGCATGGCGCAGCTCGACTGCACGTTGGCATGACCGATCGCCCCTTCCCCGATCGAGCTTTCTTCGCGGCGCGACGACGTCAGGGTACCCGAGGTGGCGGCAGTGGGCAGCCGCCGATCGGGGCGCACGTCGGCCAGCCGGCGGCTCACGTCTGCGAGCACTGCGCGCCGCCGCGCCAGCGCTCCCCTAGGGGAGATCCTTCGCCCCTTCCCCGATCGCTCAGGGCGATGCGATAGTGTGAAGTCCGACGCGTCCCTCTACAGGAGGAATACTTAAGAACAGCAGCATCATAGTCTGGGGACGATGTTTCGGCTGTGTCTGACAAATCTTGACTATGTCTTACCTGTTTCATTTTCTCTCCCCAAATCCGCCTGGAGGGGGACATGCCCAATCTAACAATAGTGGCTGCTTGCGCGCTTAGATTTGTCCACCTTGCGCCCCCTTCATTCGCGCACGAAAGGTCGCTCTTGCCTGGGGTCGCTCTTGCGTGTAGCCGATTGGCGTGTCGCTGGGACCGACGCCACGACACGCTATGCAAGAGATGCATACCGAATTCTGGGGGGATGCGCCGAGCCCCCCAATCGCCCAGGCGTCGCCGCCAGGGGCGGGCCTGCCGGCCCAACCCGCCCGCGGACGTGCGGTTCAGCTATCCGGGGCCTGTCGCCGAGTTGTTGGCGATGTATCGCCATGCATCGCCGATTCAAGCTCGATGACCCCCCCCGAGCTGGTCCGCCCCCTGGCGCTCCCCCTCACCGTCGAGCGGGGAGGCTGCAGACGAGCTTCTGTGAAGAGGCCACCTCGATTCGACCGATGATCCGGCTCGATGTCGGTTCTCGGTCGGCCCGATCCGAGTTTGAGTCATGTGTTCCGTCGATCGCTCGCGCGGTGTTGTTGCGTATCCTTGCGCAGCCGATCCGATTAGTCCCGCCCATGGCTCGCCGACGGCGGCGACGACGGCGCCCCCACGACGCCAGCGGCGGCGATATCGCCGACGGCGGGGGCGACAGCGCCGACGCTGGCGGCCGTACGCGGATCGCCGACGGCGACAGGCAGCGGCGCCCCGCGATGCCGGCGGCTCCCCAGGACTGGCGGTGGCGACGGCGTTGACGGATGCTGAATTTGTGGCGGCGGCGACAGCGGCGGCGGCTGCGAGGCCCCCCCCTCCCCGAGCCCTGCGCTGCGACAGGTTCGGCGGCCACGGCGGCGACGCCGCCAAGGAGCTGACCGTGCGAGGCGCTGACCGAACCCTCCGTGTGCTCAGCTCCTCGTACGAGGAGCTGACCACGGGCCCCGACGCGGACTCGCCGCCCCCCGCCAAAACGCTCCCGGGCTGCGCCCGCCCCGTCGGGGCTGGAGGGGAGGGAGGGGGCAGGTGGAGGAGGAGGGGAGGTGTCGGGAGGAGGAGGAGGAGGAGGAGGAGGAGGAGGAGGAGGAGGAGGAGGAGGATGCGGAGGAGGAGGAGGAGGAGGAGGAGGAGGAGGAGGACGAGGAGGACGAGGAGGACGAGGAGGAGGAGGACCTTCACGTGCTATGAAAGGGAATGCTGAGGGATAGTCGACCCGACCCAACCCACGGCGCTGGGAGGAGGAGGAGGAGGAGGAGGAGGAGGAGGAGGAGGAGGAGGAGGAGGAGGACGCGGACGAGGACGAGGAGCAGGATGGGGGCGAAGGAGGTGGAGGACGACCGTGGGGGGAGGGGGAGGGCGGGGGGAGAGTGAGGTAGAGGGACATGTGGAGGGGCGGGGGAGGGCGGAGGAGGAGGAGGAGGAGGAGGCGGAGGAGGAGGAGGAGGATGTGGGGAGGAGTAAGAGGAGGAAGACGGGGACGGGCAGGAGGAAGAGGGAGGATACCTCCTTCTCACCTCGTTCTGGCCTCCATCCCTCTCCCTTTCGATCACTCTTCCTCGCCGCGCCACGAGACGTGTCGGTGAGGTGGGCTGGGCGTTTCGCCTACGAGTTGGCTGCAACTCGGAACCTTGAAGCTGCAACTGTCCAACGGCTGCACGGACGGATGGCAAACATAATTGAAAGCCGTCTGTGGCTCTCGCAGGGCGTTGCGCACGGTCCTTCTTGCAATTGTCCCAGCTGGGCGTGTAGATGTCCAGAGGTCGAAGCTGACACTTCTGCCAGAGCTGCACGGGTGGAGGGCAGGTCTTTTTCTCAGCGCGGGGGCATCGCTGGGGATATCCTCGCAGCTTCTGACCAGGAGCCTGGAGTTGTGCACCAGCTACGCGGACGGAGGGCGATTCCGTGTCGCAGTGAGGTATCTTTCGGCGGCGAGCGAGGGGGGGGGAATGAGAAGGAGAAGGCCTTCTCAGAAGGCGGCGGGACTTCTCAGAAGGCCTCCGGCCTTTGAGATTTTTTTTCTGTCTTCGGGGAAGGCTTCGAAAACTTCTGAGAAGGCCGGGGGACCCCCGAGCCTTCTGAGAAGGCACGCCCCTTCTCACTTCCCCCCCTGGCTCGCCGCCTAATCTTCCTTCGCAGCTGGAAAGGATGGAAGGCGGATCTTTTCCAGGCAGGCCCTCTGAGCCAGCGCTCGTCTTTCAAAGGGGGCGCTGCCCGCTTTCCAGCAGGAGCGGCGGTTCTCGTGACGAGGGGGCTTGGGGACAGGGGAGCGCCTGCAGGGCTTACCAGGGAGGAGGAGGAGGAGGAGGAGGAGGAGGAGGAGGAGGAGGAGGAGGAGGAGGAGGAGGAGGAGGAAGAGGAGGAGGAGGAGGAGGAGGAGGAGGAGGAGAAGGATGATGATGATGATGATGATGCTGATGATGATGATGATGATGATGATGAGGATGATGAGGATGATGAGGAGGAGGAGGAGGAGGAGGAGGAGGAAAGTTCGCCCTCGCTCGCCCCTGAAGAAGGGCGCGCTGGCCTCAGCACGGGCGCCGGCTTCCCGCGGCTCTCGCAGTGGGCGCGGCACCTCTCGGCGGGCGGGGGCGCCGTGCCTGACCCACGCAGGGCTTTACGGCCGGGAGCTTCTGGATGGCGAGTCGCTCCGCCGGTTCTGGCCCACCGCGCTTCGGCGCGGCACGTTGGCCACGGCGCTTCGGGTCCCCCAGCGTCGACGTCCGAGCCGTTCCCCAGGGGCCCGCCCATCGAAGCGGTGCGACACGCCAACCTCTCGCGTGGCATAGCGTGTCGCCGGGGCCGCCGCGGCGACACGCTAAGCAAACGTTCCCGACCGCACTCTGGTCCCCCTGCCCCTCCACTTCCCCCTCCTGCTCCCCCCCCCCTGTATCCGCCCCCCGCTCGAGCCCCGCTGTCCTCGCCCTGCTCCTCCCCCTCCTCCTCCTCCTCCTCCTCCTCCTCCTCCTCCTCCTCCTTCCTGTCCTCCTCCTCCTCCTCCTCGTCCTCCTACTTCTCCGTACAGCCCGCGCCTGCTTTTCTCCTCCTCCCCCTCTCCTCCTCCGCAGCCGTTCCGGCTCCAGTAGCACATCTCTCAAAGTGGTCGAGGGTCAGACCGGTCAGGCCAGCTCGAGGGGCACATAAGCTCGCCCGAGCAGCTCTGAGAGTAATTTTATTTTACGCACTCACTGCTCACACCACACTTCTTTCCCCTTACATGCTGTTGGGGCGCCAGCACGCGTGCTGTCCCTGTAGAGAGCCTACCGTTTCTGCGCATTTTGCGCCGCTCCGAACGCTCTCGATGCTGAGCAGATGAAGACACTGTTTGATGCTCAGTTCAAGGCGCTCGGGGACACCATCCAGTCGCAGACCAATCGCATCGGCTCAATCATGAACAATCGTAGCAATGTCGTGAAATCCCTGGACGCGTCCCTGAATGAGAAGATACGTAGACGGACAGGTTGTTCTCGTGAAGGCCATGCGTGAAGTATTGGACTCGTACCCTGCACTCTGCAAAGGTCTTGTGAGATAGTGCATGCGTGACGTGTGTACATGCACCACTCGCCGCCACTCGCCGCCGTTTGACCTCTAGGGCTTCCTTTTTGCCATTGCGCTAAAACGCATCATAATCACACTGGTAGCGGAGCTGCCACACGATCCCCATATCGTACCCATGCGCGCACGTCTCATCAGAGAGTGTCGCACAGCCTCTGTTTACTTTCCGTGCTGGCAGTTTCCCTCGCTAGGGGACTGAGCCTTGCGCCATGGCACTTTCTTCTCTTCGCTATCGGCCGAGCGCCGACTCGCTGACGCGGTCCGAGACGAAAAGTGGCCTCTACCTCCACGACGGCATTGTGAACAACATCTACGAGTGGGAATTCCGCACAGAGATGCGCATCATTGCCGCCATGGCCTTAGTGGATCTAGAGACGGTTGAACCACAGCAACACGTGACCACCGTAGCTGTCAACAATGTTGTATAAGGCCTCAGAGGTGACGCGCTCGATATTGCCATGGCTATCGGTAAGGACGTGCTTCTGACTCCGAATGGGATCGATCAGCTGGTGCTGGCGATTCGTATTTCACTCTTCCCCATAGAGGCGCAGGAAGCGAAGATCCTGTTCCAGGTGGGGCAGCGACCATATGGACCACTGTGTCGACAGCACGGTGAGTCGATGGTCTCGTGCATCTCCCGAAGGAAACGCTGGTGGAATCTTGTCTCCAAGTTAGATCAGTAGATCTCGATGAGCGACGATATGTTTGGGTTCCTTCTCTTAGACCATGCAGGCCTCTCGTTTTTGGAGAACATGATGGTGTTGACATCCACTGGAAAGGTGACTGCTTCGACAAGATCAAGGATGTCTTGATCCTCCAGCACGGCCGCATGCACATCCGCTAACAAGGCAAGGGTGAGTCTGGTGAAGGCTCCAGCTCTTCGACGTGGACGCAACCCAGACCCAGCTACCATAACAAGGACAAGGACAAGGGCAAAGTGCGCTTCTCCAGGCCGCAACACGCCACCTACACTGCTGATGAAGGCTGGTACGAGCAGGAGGAGCATTACCCTGAGGAGCTGAGTCCCTGCGGATATTGCGCGCCCGGCTATGCGCCAGAGCACGGCTGGGGCGACGCGGCCTGGGGCGACTACGCCGACGAACGCACCTACGTCGACGAGGGCTCGTCTGCTCACTGGGCTCCTGTCCAGGATAGTAGCGAGCTCGACGTCGAGGTGGTCGACGATATGGTCAAGGCCGGATACGCAGACGAAGAAGCTGCTGACGCGATCCATGAGGACCTGGTAGCCAACCTTGGCGCCAAAGGGAGGAGCAAAGGCGTGGGGGAGAGCGGGGGCAAGAGTTACCGCTGCGCGCCCTGGTCGCCCAAGGGCGGCGGCAAGGGGGGGCCTTCCCTGGAAGATCGCAAGAAGCGGCTCCATGAGATCAAGACACGCTCGACATGCAAGACGCGCCGCAAAGCTGGCCGCTGGCCCGGGGGCCCTGAATGCAACGGCAAGCCCAAGGCGGCAATGGTAGCGCACAGTGGAGACACTGGCGAGCGCCATGTCCAGTTGCGCGAGGGGATGGCGAACGAAAGCTCACATCTGTCAGTTCTGTTGCTGTATAACCGTCAATCCCTCATCATACCATCAGGAACATGGAGGAGTCGATGAGGATGGATTCCGGCGTCTCGTTTCTGCTCTGCTTTCTATTCTCGCGCCAGGTGCCACTCATGTGTCACAGGGCATGTGTGTATGAGGCAGTGTAGCTGGCAGCGCAACCACGCTGAGCATCATGTCTGTGAGAGTTGCATGGACATGACTGAAGCCATTCTGGTTCAGGGACCTCCAGAGCTTCAGGAGAAGAGTCTCCAGACCTCTGCAGTCGCTGAGGGGGGTACTCTTGGGTTCATGCCTGTCAGCTCGACCGAGTCTTACTTTATGGCTAGTGTTTCCGATGGGGATTTTGAGGAGGAGGAAGCCGTTTCGGATCCGATCTCTGTTCTTGGTCAGGATGTTGCGCTTGCTTCGGGTCAGCGCGCAGGGCTCAGTGACGGTCGTGTTCTCAGGGATATTCTGGACTACGTAGATTGGGGTCGCAGTGTGAAGAAACCAATTGAGGATATGGTTCTGTTCCTAGGATGGGCCGATAGCAACTTTACTCGGAAGGAAGACTGACAGTTTGTGAGAGTTTCGGGATCGCGAGTTTCCAATGGCAGAGTTTTGCCTTCTTCGATTTCTTCTTCTGGCTCGAACAGGAAACCTCCAGATCCCCCTGTGCCTCGCCCGCGTGCTCGAGGTTGCGAGAATCTCTCAGGCGTTGGTTTAAGGGCTCGTTTCATTGTTCGCACCTGCAAGGATTGCGGGCGCAAGACCGAGCAGGAGAGGTGCGCGGCACTGCGCCCACTGGGGGAGCATCCGCGCGATCTTGTAGATAATCGCGGCAGTATTCCATATTT